CTCCACTCTTGGCAGCTGGGAGACCAGCTTCCCTCCCCATCTGGAGCAGCAGGTCTCCTGCTCGCTTACTTACACCCTTTCTCCACCATCTCCACAGCCCTCGCTCTGCTCATCACCCAGAGGATCAATGGTCCCTTTGCACTGGAGACAGCTTGGTCACAGCTCCAAGACAAGGTGGGAAAAAAGGTGGGAAGGTGGGCACAGTGTGCTGGTGTGGACTGGCCTGGATTCAGGCCTCCACATCCTCAAAGAGCTCCTTCTGGTGGTCCAGCAGGAACTTGGTAAAGGTATTGATGGGGTTGATGGCTTTTAGGGTGATGGCTACATCTTTGGCCCACAGCAGATTTGGGCCAAACACAACTGCCAGGTTGGTGTTTGTCATCTTGTTCCTGTCACTGTGAGCAGAGACCTATGTGGGAAGGAAAAAGACCACTGTGAATCCTAGAGAACAACAGAGCAACTGCCTGCTGCCCTCTACCCTCCCCAAAGCCAGAGCTGACAGACTCCCAAGGGCAAATGGGAGGAGAGAAGCCAAAGGCCCAATGCCAGAAGACAGCTGGGGGAAACACACGTGACACCCAGCATTCAGGAGGTGAGGAACAATATCTGGCAATTTGCCACTATGGCTTAACCACCAGGCCATATCGTAACAATAGGACCAAGAGCACTGTCAGCCAATACCTCTACAGTCCAGATCACCACTCAAAACAAAATGATCTTCCCTCTTGCTAGAATAGCCTTGCAGTGGCTTCCCTGGCAGCAGAAAGTTCTGTAGGGCGGATCTGAGACCCCTCTTCTAGTCTAATCTTCTACCCAGATATTTTGCAGTTGTACCTCCACCCTGGGGAGCTTTCAGCCTCCCTGGTACAGACCACACAGGCTTAAGGCCCACCTGCACCTCTCAGCATTATGAGAAGCAACTGCTCAGGCTAGTTCATCATGATCATTCTTGATCTCTGTTTAACAAGAACATAAGGTAAAGAAAGGCAATTTCCTAGCTTGACACTCATTTTCTCCCAAAGGAAAAGAGGGAGCAGGCAGTCAAAAAGCTGATGCAAGGCACTGGCAACTGAACTAGAATACAACTGCCCACCTTTGGAGCAGCTCACCTGCACCAGAAAGGCTGTCAGTAAATGGAGCACTTGGTAGTTTTCTTCTGGCAGAGTCTGGAGTGTTTTCCGAACAACATCCACACGATTCTCCTCCTCCACACCTAAAAATCAAGAGAGACAGGGCAAGCAGGTCCATGAGGAATCCTCAGCACCCACCCTGATGAAAGCCCTGTTTGCAGTCACAGGGTATCCCATGCAGGACTGTCCCCCCTGAAGATACCATTGACCTTGGCCAGTGCAACATTCAGGGAGTAGCACACTCTTGTTACAACTCACTCTGGAAGCTGACAACATGGCTGTAGAGACCAAAAGTGAGGAGGGGCTCAGGTAGCTCCCTTAAGAAGGTCTTGAGAATCACAGCAGGGAGGTGGACATCTTCATACTGCTGGAAATCTACAGGCACACCTGAGAAAGTAGAGCAGAGAGTCAGTGCTCACTGGCCAAAGTAGGACCTCCTCCAGACAAAGAATGGGACAGGGTGGTCAGAGCCCAGAACTAGGGAAGCAGTATTTTAAAGAACACAGAGAGGGTACTAAAGCACCACATCTTCTAGCAGAGTGGAAAAATGTGTCCCAAAAGCATATGCAAAGCACTGCTGAATCCAGCGCTACATCTTTAGAAGTCATCAAATGAAACAGATGACCAAGTTTCTTCCTGGTCATCTTCAGTCCCTCCAGTATAACCAGACTAAGATGGTATATCCCACCCCAAGAAACAGGGAAATTTTCAGGAAGGAAAGGGGCAGTGAGTGGAACACGAGTGGGAAGGAATATGCTTTCCACACAGCAAAAGTATCAGATGCTTCTCCCTTGCAACTCAGGGAGACCCCTGAGACCCTGATGGGGCCTCACCTAGAGGCCTATTAGAGAAGGAGAGGAGCCATGGTGGACCAGTTCCAACACAGTTCCAGCTGGACAGTAGTTGTTAGGGAATGAGAGGGGCTCTGCTGAGTTTGGGCACTTACCCATGTTGTATTTTTGCTGGACCTCCCTGACAACCTGTGTATTTGCTGATCTCCGGAAAATCCCCTCTGTAGCAAGAGCTGTGAAGTGAGAGCAGATGGAGAAGAAAGATAACCATATGAGAGTCTCCAAAAATGCTGGTCTTAACAATCATAAATCCATGCTGTGGGGCATTCAGGCAGATGTCAACAAGTCCCTTTTTTAGAGTACGGCAATTCTTTCTGCTTCCACTACAAGGCAAAGGATACAAGGAGCATTTTGCTACTCTCATACAAGTGGGAGTATGGATGACTGGAAGAAAGAGGTCTCCTAAGCCCTGCACAATCTCTCTTGAAGGCTAACTCACCTAGTTCAGGCCTTTACACCTTATTCTAGACTGCTGTTGTTCTTTATCTTACCACACTCTGGAAGGGAACTTGGGTGGAGGAGAGGCCACTGACATGGCATTAAGAGGGGCTGCAGGTTCCCCTGAACACTTACCATGCTCCTGCAAATGAGCAATGGTGTCTCTGACCACCAGAGGAACAGGAGACTGATCAGGGCTCTTCTCCCTGAGACTGCGGGAAGAGACAAAAGGTTACAAATGACTGGTCCTCCCTGCCCCGCATGCAGCCCCTGAGTCTTGAAGTTGCCCACACAAGCTCTACCACATAGGATCTTGCTATCCCAGTCCCTGGTTTAGCCATTATTCCGGCCTGCGCTCCTCTTCACCCATCGTGCTGCATCATTCACTGGAGCAAGTATGAGCTCATTCCTACCTCACAGGAATATTTCTCTATCTTCTGTAAAAATCATAGCCTGTAGATGCAGGGCAAAGGGGTTCCCAGAAGGCAAGGCTGCTAGTTATGTATCAGGTGAAAAGGGTTAAGCTTCCTTTTTCCTTCCCCATAGGAGCAAGGGCAGAAAGAAGCTGACACATGAGAGAAATATATATGGGATAAGTTTACCCACCCCACGCCTGTAACAGAAGATCTGTCAACCCAATGTTGATGGGTTGAATGCTGTCAGGGAAGGCCTAGTGATGCCAAGGTGTTTGCTGCCACCCTCACATTCGATTGTCTATACCATTTGATAGCATGGAGCTGTTCACCCCACTCAGGCTACTAACAAGCTCAGGCACACAGCACCACGGGGGTTACATTTGGAAATGTTGTGTTGAAGCTGGGGAATGTGTTCCCAGATTGCTTCAGAGGATCTGTCTGGCCACACATTATTGGCTCCTCCTCATTCCCCGGGGAGGCAAAATCACACTCAAAGTTAAAAATACCTTCAACACTTAGCCAGTATCACTAGTCCTTGCCAGTGTCCGTGTTTGTCTGTGTCACCGTGCAGGAATGGGGAGTGAGAATCATTACAAGGGTGAATGGAAGTGCTTTTAAAATAGAATTTATGATACGGAAAAAACTAAGAAACAGATCTGCAGCACTGCTCAATCAAAATAGCATAGCCCTAAAAACAGCTCCATCAGCCTCCTACAGACTTCCTCTGCTTAAAGGAAGTTTCTAGTGGCATAAAGCCGTCCCCACGGCCCTTATTTTGCTCCTCCCGTAGTAACCCTTAGCTGCAGAAACAATCTCATCCTAATTTAGATACAATCTAGCCAGGGAATCAAGAGGGTGGAACTGAACTGAGTCAGTCAGGATCCGGACATGAGTGCAGAGTTCCTCAGAAGAATGATTAAAGCTTTGTAGGAAATCTGAACTGCAAGAAATTTTACATCCACTTTTGCTGCTGTTCAGTTATAAATACAGTGACCTCATCTCAAGCAAGTCAGGGCAAAAGCAACACAATCCAGAGATACTCACTGCTGGAGCGAGACTCCAAACTGCTGGTTTGGCAGTGGTGGGCGTGGGGGTGTTGGCTTCTGGGGCACTTGTGAAGGTTTCTGCAGGGATCTCAGATATTCGTCATATCTGTGGCAAAACACAGACTAGTAAAAAGCCACCCCACCTCCCAGAAAGAGCATGAACCCAGCACTGCACGTGACCCACTGCACACCCACTGGTAACAGCTCCAGCCTAGCATGGTTGATTCCACCTATGCAAAAACAGGACAGGCAGCTCTGGAGCACAGGAGCAACAAAACCAAACGTCTGGTTGCCAGAAGAAAGCAGGGAGAAAGGACTATCTATCTGGAATCAGGAGCTGGAGTAGCTGAGGACAACAGACAGCATGGGCAGGAGGCCAGGACAGCACTGCTTGTGATGAGACAGCTGCATGTGTGTGTGAAGGACAGGGAATTAATCTGGTAGGACTGAGATTGTGGCACTTTGGGAAGCCCCAAGACAAGCTGAACTGTGCAGAGTGAGCAAAGCAGGTGTCCAGACGCAGCAGACGCGCACCACGAGCACCAGGTCAGTGTTAAGGTCAGCAGCTTGCAGAAAGCCCCTGAGGGCTGAGCGGGAGAGGCAGGACTGGTGCTCTACTGGAGGAGGATTTTTAACTCAAGGACAGAACTGGGCACTGGTGCCAAGGACACACAGGAAGGAGCATGCAGAGAAACAATAGTCTTTAAGGCAATTTGTCACCGCTCCCTCCAAAACCACTGCCTGAGTGGAACAATCTCCTCCTCCCCTTGCCATTCCTCCAGGAAAGTCCCCTCTCACAAAGCCCTAAGCAAATGGGAGACAGGCAGCATTCTCACTTCAGCACTTGGCTTGGGATCCCCAACTGTTCCAGCTTCACATACTCTTCCAGCTCACTAAGGAAGTTCACATAAAAAATCTTTCGTCCAAACTTAAAGCTGAAAAACAAGAGAAAAGAAGGTATGTGAGGAATCAGTAAATCCAGTATCAGAACACATTTCTTACAGGCAAGGAGAGCAGGGGTCTGCAAGAGACATCAATGGGGCAAAGGGGCAGGTATGGCTGAGCAGCAGAGATGTCGCCCACATAGCTGTCCAACTCCATATATTTTACCAGGAGATGCCAAGACTTTCCAGTCACATTAGAAGCTCTAGCAGCAGCAGGCTCCCTGAAACGCTGGATTTCTCCTTCCTAAGTTCAGCAGTAGGCTGGAGAAAGTTTTCAATTATTTTACAGAGTTAGGATTTCAGCATCAACACAATGAATTAAATATAATTTGAACTGATGCTCTCACTTCCTTTTTCATTATTAGCAGAGCCTGCAACACTTTCCTTCTACTTGGCTGGATAGAAAGGGAGCTGCACAGAGCTGCAAACTCTGTAGGTTCCCAAAGCAGTACTTCTTGTGTCTGAGTATTTCTGAGCTCAGAAACAGGAGGAGATAGCACAGGGTGAAAGACTTCAGGGTAGGCTCGGCAGCCTGGGCTCACCTTGTGCCCGACTGAGAATGCCCCATTATTCCCCTGCAGTGCGAGGATGTGGGTGAGCCTCTTATAGCGCTTCCTACCTGATCAGAGGCTTGAAGAGAATCAGCAGGGTCTTGATGAACATGGTTGGGTGCACAATATACAAGGCTTTGATGTTCTTCTTGTACCTGCCAAGAGAAACTAAGTAAGGATGAGCTGCACTTTAAGCAGAGGAACCAACCTTTCCACAACATTAAGGCACCCTGGGTGCTCCATTCCCTTTGCACTGAGTCTCACCACTCCCCAGCACCCATGGCCTCTGCTCTCCCATGCTTCGTAGCAGTGTCAGGCCACTCAGCAGCCTAAGGGCACACTCTACTGTATTCCAAGATTCACTGAGAAGCAGTGAGCAGGCACACCAGGAAGCAACCATGGGGCTGACACACTTGCACTGGGTCCTGGTTTTGCTGCTTGCCTGTTGGCCTAAAGGATGTAACTACAGAAGGAGCTGTTTATCCCATGATTCAGTCTGCATTAAAGAACAACCCACCTCCATAAGCAGCAGAAATATGTGATAGTAAATCACATATCACCAAGCTACGGGCGGGGCTGGGGAAGATCTTCTACGTTAAGCTACAGAACAGCATGTTACATCCTTGCTTGCTGCAGCCTTACTCACTTGCGATCAAATTCCCTGTAGGCATCCCGCAGCCAGCTCAGGGATGGCTTGTTCTCACTGGTCAGGCCATGGTGCAGGTACACCAGTGTGTAATCACTCTCCACATACTGGTCCAGTGTGAATTTCAGGTACCTGAGAAGAGACAACTGCTGAACTCACTTCACGCTCTGCCATAGAGAGGCTCTTCCTCCCTTTGGGACTCATTTTTGTGTGCTGTAACAGAGGATTTGCATCCCCAGCAATGGAGGTAAGCACATTGGGAGGACATGTCCAGCTAAAGAAGCTACTGCAGATAGATCTGGTCCCAGGAATCCAGCACCTGGGAATTATGTCAGGCTTAAGAAGTTAACAGCAGCCTCCTAAGACACTACTCACCCCAGCAGTTTCATGTGATCAAGTTGATGACTTGGGGGCATCCGGCAGGCACTGAACAAAATGACTTTCCTTCCGTATTTGTCATCACCTACAGATGAAATGCCAGAGATTACAGGGAGTTTAAGGACTACGTTGTGGCAGCAAGGGGTAAACACAGAATGGGAAACTGCCATAACAAGGCAGAAGTCTGGATTGCCACAGCTGCCAGCAAAGCTAAACCTGATTTTCAGCAGAGTTACCACAGGCCTAGTACAGAAGCAGAAACCTGAACACCAAGGGCCCGGCAAGTCAACAATGCGAATGGAGAACAGATCCCATGCTCCAGCCCTGAAAGAAGAGGAAGGATTGGAAGCCAGGATGCCTCAGGGCACGTAGGGATGGAGGCCTCAAGTACAGAGCAGAGTGCTCAGAGCATTAATCCTGCAACGCTGCCCCTGGGCACTGCTCCTGAAGCACGTGTGTCCAGGGAGGTACAGGGAAAACTGCCCCTCACAGGCACAATAACCATTCCTTCTGTCCTGCACATAGTCCCAGACTAACTGCTTGTGGTCTGGTGCATTTGTTTCTTGCTTCACCTGAAGCTTAGGCCTGCACACAGAACAAAGCCATTTCATACCCTGGAAACCACGAAATTCCTAGAAACAGGGCAGTCCCAGCCACATCCCAGAGATGAGAAGTAAGCATCATCATAAGTCTCTTCTACGTTTGGACCAAGTAGGGCTGCTGGATTCTCCAGGGGGATTGCAGAACAAGCTGTTCACTGCTTCCTAGATTTTCCATCCACAGAGATATTTTTCCAACCTGAGCTGGAAGGAGCTGCAAAGTGCGGCACAACAAAGCATTCTATGTAAAAACTCAGCAGAAAGCAGTCCCCATCGCATTGGAGCCAAATAACCCATAAAGCACCCTCATCTCAGGGAGGACACTCCCAGCCACCACTTCAGGCTTCAGAGACAACAAGCCAGGTTTTCCCCAAAGCAAGTCTTCATACGTCAGTAGACTTCTGCCAGCAGAGATCTCAGCCCCATGAACAAAACCCAAGCAGATGGGCATGGACAAGTTTAGCAGACATGCTAGGGGAATTGAGAGATTTAGATAAGTAAGAACCAGGTCACAAATCTTTTGGACATACAGAGTTTGAGGGAAAGTCTGGTTCTCTCCCAGACACAACACCCAATCCATTTCCATAAGGATGACTTGCTTTTTAGCACCAGTGAAGATGAAATGGTTCCTTTAGTGTGAAGGGTTAAAGTCTTCCCATCTTTCTTGCTACTCACCCTGCTCCAAGAGCTGTTTTCTTGTCATGCAGAAGGAGCATAGAGCAGTGGAAGGGGCTACTGAGATTATACTCAACAACACCCTCCTTCCTCCCCTACGGCACAACCATCTCATACAGACCACAGCACAGAAAAGCAGCAAGGATCGCTACTTATGCAGGACAGCCCTGCAATACATCATTCCTCTCGAAATATATCCTTTTCCCCACACTGATTTACAATATTCAGAGCATGCAGCCATTTTCTCACCTTTGCGTGGGCTCTGGCCCTCAACTACCGCTTGGTTACACTTGCCGTGCAGCAACTGAGATCTCAAACTGAACCCTGGAACAGCAAACCTGAAGTTTCTGGGAACATTGCCTGCTAGTAACAGATGACCACCTGGTGCTGCAAATGGCAGCCAGAGAATTCACATACACAAGCCATGACATTAAGATGCCACTAACCCTCTTTTACCCCCATCCTGGCCAGAAGAACAGATTCTCTTGCTACTTTTTCACTTATATTTTTCTCTCGCAAGTCCCATTTTCAAGTCACTCACCAGACAACACAAGAGACAGAATTTACTGATGCACACAAGCCAGAACCTCTAAAAAAGCTAGGGACACTGAGGCAGCACTAGGTACAGACCAGGAAAGGGGTGGCATAGGCCATCACATTGACATACACATGCGGAGGTAAGGGGCGATTAGGGAGGACGCATGACCCAGAATGCAGGACTAGGAGAGAGTGATGCAAGGCTCATCTGGAACAACCAGATACAGTCACAGCCAGGCCACAAGACCAACATCACATTGCATATCCCACGGTAGCCCACTCTCTGCCTAGCCCAGAGTTTCTTGGTAGCTTGCTATGAGCTTTAGGGCTGGGTCTAATGCACATAAGCTGTCTATACAACAAAGGTGCAGGCTACAAACTCCTGGGCAGGGAATATGGCATATTGTGACTCTTCCCAGTGGTCTTGAGCCACTCGTATGTCTCCATCTGGAAGACAAAGGGTCTTGCCTGCACAGAGCAGCAAGAAGATGGTAGCATCTGAGAATCTGTAGTGATTCTCAGTTTTGTAGTGATGAAAGAGAATGGTCAGAAAGACTACAGATCTTTACAGATCATAGCTCTGTGCCATGTGTCAGAATAGATGCTATCTTCAGTTAACCGAGAGGCTGCATTTCACACCAGCGTAAATGGTCTGAGGGCTAGAAGCAGATTGCAAGCTTGATCAAAGCAGGCCTTGGCTGTGAAGAACTGCAGTACAGCACCATGTTCATGAGATGTGGGCGGCCACACACTCAGCTCAGGCTCCTGGGCACTGATTTCCAGACCTGACAAGTCACAAGTCAGGAACCACATAGCTTAAACACCTTCCTCTGGAATGACGTGAAAGCCTATGGCAGGGCCTATGCAAAGTCTAGAATCTCGTTCCTTATATAGCCTTGGTGAAAAGGCCTGGGATCGCTGGTAAAGAAAAAACAGACGATCCGTGATTCTGCCAAAGGGGAGATGGCATGTTTCCCCTGGATAATTTCCAGGGCCAAGTACACCAAAAGATAATCTATAGTCCCCTGGATGACTGAAAAAGGAGTGGCCCGTTTTGCCTTCCAAATCAGAATGAATTTATGCGTGAGACCTACACAGGAACCAGCATGCCCATTACCGAGTTCTGGGTTTCACTCCAGTTTCATCACACTGAGCTCAGCCTGTCAACACAGACACTTTCAAAACAACCAGCTGCCAATCTTGTTTCCACCTGACATATATCAGATCAGTCTGGTTCCTCCAGACATGACAAAATTCAAAATTCAGCATCAAAACTGAACCATCAGTTATTCCAAACAAGAACCTAAAGCCCACTCCATGCATTCTTGGCTGTTGGAGGAAACTGCCTGCAGGTGGCCTCTCTGCCTCAGACCACACAGATTCTTATCGCGTTTGATCTTTCCCAGATGCTCCATCCCTTGTACTGTTCACTTTCCTGTTTGCAATATTAATCTTACGTACCTAGGTTTTCACCCCTTGTTGGCAATTGCAAATAGCTAAAGTTTTCATTGAACACAACTATAGACCATGAAGTAATCACTCAGCTTCTCAGGCTGTCTCCTCTCCCAGATGAGGAATGCTCAACAACAAACCAGCAAAGAAGCAATTATATACCATCAGTACTCACAGAGCACCCAACAATGTGCATACCTTTGTGAGTAAGTTCATACATAAAAAATATTTTCAGTCTACACTGGAATTAAACTACCTCCCCATAGGATGTAATTCAGATTTTTTTTTTTTTAACAACAAAGAGCAAGACAGTAGCCAACACACAAAGCCTCTCCAGTCAAGACAGCTGCTCATCTAAAGAGATACTAACTTGTAGCACTGATGGACATGCTAATTCTCCTGAACACTGTTATGGCGCTTTTAAGGCCCAAACTCAGTTTTTCCTCTCACCCGAAGAGCAGTGTTTCCAGTGCACTTCTGAGACAAGGGGCAAGGAACATCATTGCTGTGGTTCCAAGCCATCAGTGCAGGACCATACTTCTAAAAGAGCTGAAGTTTAAATACTGAGGCTAATGTTTCAGATCGAAACCTGCAGCAATACGAATGTATCAGAGCAGAAACTCATGTCAAGGTAGCAGTACTGTCCTGAGACAGGATTCTCTATTAAATGAATCTGTACAGCCAACACGGAAAATACATGCTTGACTTGCAAATCCTGCTATGTATTTCTAGGTATTTCTCCTGAAATGTATCCATTAGGCTTTATGCCATGACTGGAAGCTGTCGTACTACTCACTGGCAGCATAACTGCATAACTGGTACTTTGATACTGAGAGAATGCAGACGGATACAACTTGCCACCAAAAGCTGGTGTTATTGGTAAAACAGCAAAGTTAACAGAGTTCAGGGCCAAGGAGAGGACACCGCTACGTAATTCTGGAACATTACTACACAAGTTTCACAAAGCTTAGGATGTTTATCAGAGCCACTGTCAGTAAAAAACTTCTCTAATGTAATTTCAGGTTCCTGCCAAACTTATGACATAGCTGGGCAGTATTTAAGTATAGTAGATTTTAGCTGCCTGTTGAATTCCAAAGTGGATGTAGCCCCTCAGGAAAAGAAGGTAAGGAGCTCCAAGTAGAAGTATTTTAACATGGTATCTTCCACCTATAGGGTGGAATTTTGGATATTCCCAATATCCAAACACTGCCAGAATCATAAAGCCTTACCAAACGACTACAGCTCTAACTGGTACAAAATATACTGGAGGGTCAGATTAAAGAATGCAAAATGGGAGGATGCCTGAGAGCACTGCGAACGGGGGAGAAGAGCCCACATAATGAGGCAGGGAGGATCAGCATTTCCATGGACTGTGTGAAAGTCTTGGCCTGCTGTTCAGAAATAGCAGAAAGAATTTCACACCAAAAGAAGTTTTCATCTACACTGAGAAGTGTGAAGCACCAGCAGCCAAATTCTTAAGGCTTGGGACTGAAGTCCAGAGAGTATTAACAAATGCTCAGCAAGCACAGAGCAGTCTAGCACAGCTTCAGGCTAGAATGAGGAACAAGTTACCGAAACACAACGTCTCTGCAACCAAATGGAGAAGAAATAGATAACACTTGCTTTCAGCTGGAGAATCCAGTTTAAGCGCCAGCTGCTAGCATGTGAGCGCCGCAGCAGATCACATGAAGGAATAGGAAGCAATCCTAGGATGAACTTCCAAAGCACACGTGACAACGAGGTAAATCTGAGTTCAGAATGAACTGGTCCAAGCAGGCCACCACCATGACAGAAGAGGAACAGGATTTACACCGAGACCCCA